ATTGAATGCAAAAATTACGAAAAACGTAGATAGTACATATGCTATAAAAATAAATGCATTATTATATTTTATTTCCTCTATGTGCAGAAGAGATTTGTTCACCTGGAAGTGGCATTGTGTACTAACCAATATTTGGGGTGGCGGTGTTATGGACTAATATTAAGAAGTTAACATTTTAAATTATATATTTTTAATTAAATGTAGTACTAATATAGGCATAAATTTTTCAAATATATGGATGAAGTAAGAATTCGACAGCTATTGTATACAGCATAGTAATGTTTAAACATTATATCTGTTATATAATTTAGATGCTCTACTGAGTACTGTGTAACTTTTACTCAGTTTAACTTTTCAGTTTTAAGAGAACGTTTATATTATAACTATAAGTTAATGATTGTCATGAGTATATCATACGATTTATGTCAAATAATATATTAGTACTTCACATTGCTGTGTTTTGTGCATACTATTTGTTTGTTTTAGAGCAAAGCAATATTGGGCTACCTACTGTTTCCACTGTGGGGGAATCTAATCCCGGATTTTAGAATTGTAAGTCCTAGAGGCTAGACTTACCACTGTCCCACCAGGGACTTATGTGTATATACACTTCTGTAGATTAAATGTAATTCATTTTATAGTTATTGCTGAATACTGTGTATGCACTATGAAGTTCCATAACTGTCAGAATACCTATGAAACTGTAACTTGTAAGTCTTGACCATATTTTACAATTAAAAGACTTATTTTGTGTACTTTTATTAAATGTACAAAAGTTATGGTCTTTGCTTATGGCAAAAAGCCAGATGGTTTATTAGTCCTGACTAGGATCACCATTAAACATTCCCACAATGAAATGTAATATATGTTTTTAGTAAATATTATAGCAAAATCCAAAAAACTTGGCTAACAACAAAATACTACCCTTTTTGACACAGTTTATATTAATTGACTACTCAGAGTCAAACCAAGCATAAGGTAATTTTTTCAGAGAAGAATCCAGCAGTTATGCTTCTAAAACTTGAATAGGTGTATGTAATAATGACCTTTAAAATTTGAGTCACTGTTGCTAGCCATCTTTTCACTTATAATTTCCAGACAAACTGCTTAAAGTTTAACATTTAGATTGTGAAACCACCCATACTTATATCTGTACCTGTACCTTGTGGTCAAATAAATACTTTGAAATTTTACATTTGCCAGTTTGGCTGGCATTATGTGAGAACTTATGCACCATTTCATTCAGGTGTTCAATCACAATTTTTATCATGTTAAATTAAAATAATTTTCAGTGAAATACAGTATGAAAACTGTAATAACTATAGCAGAGGAAATGATGTATAAGTATGTGGGATGACTCAGTGTAGGAAGGGAGACTGAAGTAAACTCTGTGTAATTAAGAATATAATTAATCTTGAAACATTTAAATCTTGAATAGACTTTGGACAGTTTATTGAAATATAACGTAGGTACATCAAGGTCCAATTGTAAGGCCAAAGCAGAAGATGTTTATTGTTTAGTCAAATTAATCTTTTTTACTTTTAAGTTCAAAATCCCACTAAGTATAATCCATAACTGTTTTATTTTTATTTTATCGGGCAACAACAACAATAGTGTCCAGAAGATGAGTTTCAGTAATGAGAAATATAAAATTATGTATTTAGGCCTAGTTACAAAATCTACCATGATTTTTCTGAGTAGAAGACACTTAAAACAGAGTCAATATCTTCAGTAACTTTGAAAACATTACTGTATAAGAAGCTATCAAATTATTGGTATAGATGCTTGAGTAAGGAAGCACATTATAGTAATATAATAATAGATAGGCAAACAATGATTTACAAGCGTAAGGAAAAGTTTTGTTGATGGTGGAGCATACTACATGTCAAAACATAGTATGTTCTACCATCAATAAAACTTTTCCTTATGCTTATAAATTGTTGTTCTCCTACCTGTTATTATTGGTATAGATATTAACCAAACACTACACATCTGAGAGAACACTCTAGTCACATATTCCCAATTGATAAAATGCTTTTTCATCATGATTATATGTTTTTCAATTATTTATTTTTCTAATTTTATGAGCACTTAATTTGCTGATTAGTCATTAGTCTCTCTCTCTCTCTTCTTTTTTTTTTTTTCTATCTTGCCTTATCATAGCCTTTCTGAAAGCCAAGATACATAGCACCAGTTGAAAAAATTCTTCTCTCAATAAATATGTAAGTTTTGTTCAAAAATCTCCAATAAATAGTTAAGAAACCTTTTCAGAAATCATGAGTGAGAATTATTAATTAACTTGTAAATTTTAGTTGGTTTATAAATCTGGGTTGACCTTTACTCTTCTTTAAAAAAATTGTATTATCTTGATAATCTTACAATCTTTAGGAACATTTTTCTCTTTCTAGAGATTAAAAAAATTGCTAAAGCATACATATGTAATTTTTTTTTTCAAGCTTCTTTAATTTTTAAAACAAAGCTTTTAAAAGCTGGGAGCTTTATTTTCAAAAAGTTTTCAGACTTATTTAAAATATCAGCATCTTCAAGAAAAACAGAGTTAAAAGAAAAATTCTTCCAATCTATAATTAATTTGTTCAGATTAAGAGGAATGGTCTACTGCTTCATCTGTAAAACAGTATTAATAATTGTGTAGCACTTTAATCTTAAATACATCCCTTATAAGGCTCCTTATAAAATATTTTAAAAAATAAACATTTTTCTTGACTCTCTTCCCTCCACTTTTTTTGTTCTGTTGTTTGCAGCTATACATATACATACAAGGACAACAGTGGACCCGGTGCTCCATTTAGACCCTCCTTAAGTAATAACAATAAACTATTATTTTGGAAACAAAAAAACGCTAACAATCAAAATCTCTTCATTTATTAATAAATAAATGAACATTGAATATTACAACTTTTCTCTTTTACCACCTAAACTAAGTGTAACAATTTAATGCAAACTAGCCGAATACTGAAGCTGCTGAGGTCAAGAAACATGTACATGCTTCCATCTGTCGGTGCTGATGTTTACAAAATAATTGGGGTCTGTGAATACCCCAGAAGACTAACGCAAGGTTAAATAAAACTCAAAGCCAGCCTTTATCATTCAAATATTTGTTGAGTCTACCATTCCCTTAAATTAACTACATGTACCACATCTGAAGGCAGCCCATTCCAAAGGCCAGCCACCCTGTTAAAAATAATAAAGCTGTCTTAACTGAACATGATTCCTACCATTCCAAAATTTATATTTGTGTGCCCTAGTCTTACCATTCTCACTATTAAATATGGAAAAAGATTGTGCATCATTGTCCACAGTCTTCTTAACAATCTTAAACACCTCAATAAGAATCCCTCTAACTTTTTTTTTTTCAAGAGAAAACATTTTCAGAGATTTTAACCTGCCCTCATATGACAACCTATCCATCCCAAGTATCATCCTAATTGGCCTCCTCTGAACCCTTTATAACAATTCAGTGTCTTTTCTAAGATAAGGAGCCCAAGACTAAACACAATATCCCAAATGTGGCATAATCAGTATCACCTCTTTAGACTTGTATTGAATATTTTGTAGATACAATTTAAAACCCCATTTGCCCTACCACTAGTAACAGAATGTTATTGTGATGGCTTAAGAGACTGATCAACCAGAAAACCATGATCCTGTTATATTCCAATTAAAATTATGCTTATAATTCAAATTATAAACCTTCATATATTACCTTGCAATTACTATAATCAAAAGCCATTTGTCATTTATTCACCCAACTCACCAAATAATAAAAATCTTTCTGTAAAGAAGCATCCTCCTCCTCAAAACCAGCAACACTCAAACAGTTATATCAACTTTTCCTTCATCTACAATAAATATTTAATAAAGTTCTCAAAACACCGGCTCTACAAAAGTGGGATGTCCATAATGTAGACAAATTACTCTAAGAAGTTGAATGCCCTCACTTTTTATTTATTTATTTGTTTTTACCTTAAGCACCATTTATTATTACTACTAGTTTTTTTTTAAACTGTATATGAAAGCAAAAGTGTATTTTATGTTGTATTAGTTAAGAAGAGGCAGATAAAGTAATTCTAGTTTGTCCTTAAGTTGGTGTTTTTTCAATTTAATTTTATCTCATTCAAATGCAGTAATATACAGTTTGCTTCTGTAGCATCCAAGCTTTTTTTAAAACATACTGATATAAGTTTAGGCTTTGTAACTGAATTTTCCAAAAATATCAGGCTTTTTAATAATCTGTCATTGTACAAATCACCAGTAGTTTATTTTTTCAAAGTTTTTTTGAACTTTCTTTGTGTTAAAGTAAAACAAAAATATTTTGTTATGGTCAGCTATTTCTTTTCAATGTAGAATAGGGATAATTGTGTACAGATCTGGAGCCTGATGTTTTTCCTATTTTAGACTCTTTAATGAAACCCAGATTAGAAAGAGTAGTACATATTGACTGAAGAACTGTAACTTCTATCATCTACTTATCAAAGCAAGTGGTTTCTTAGGTTAGAAGATGGCAGAAAAAATTAATGGGTAAGTACAATTTCATAGAAAACAGTTACGGCATCTTTATTAAACACATTACAATGTATTTGTATCACAAACTTATCATTAAATTACCTAAATTTAAAAATAGGTTATATATTTATTATCATTATATACACGAAAAATGAATATATATTGGTGAATTAATTACTGTGCACTGACTAATATTTCATGAAAATAGATTTTTTTCAGTGTTTGAACTATATCAGAATTGATAAGTTGAGTAAAAATCAAATAGTATTTACACTGCCAAGTTGTATATAACTAAAACAATAAAGTTAAGCAGATATGTTAGATATGTAAGTATAATAACCAGGGGAAATAAAAGAAAAGAAGAAACTATACTGACAAAAAGTCACTGTTTACAATTAGAAATTCACTTTCTGCTAATAAATGTTTAAGTAAGACATTGGTAGTCCAAGAGTTGGCTGTGTATGGTGATGACTAGCTGCCTTCCCTCTAGTCTTACACTGCTAAATTAGGGACGGCTAGCACAGATAGCCTTCGTGTAGCTTTGCCATTGAAATTGACTAATAACATCATTGGAACTAAAATAACTCTGATATAACTCAAAGCATTCCGAATCTTTTCTTAGATTTTCTGGGAAGTCGGGAGGTATCCGATCGTTTTTGCCCATTTCTCCTTGACCAGAAAGGATTTTTAAATTCTGAAAGTTGTTCTCGCCTTTTCAGACCGTTCCGCACTTTTTTCCGTTTATTTTTGATACTTTTTAAAAAAGTTCACACGGAAGCCCCAAGGATGAGTTTCTCGCTGACCAGGATCTTAGATAAATTACTTAAAAAACGTTATATGAAATATCCATATCTTCAAGAACAAAAAATATTTAACACCACCTCGTCCTAACAAATGTATTTTGTTTATATTTCATACTTCATTCCTTTATCACACACACGGTGGCTTAGTGGTAAGTCAGGACCTTTACCACCAAAAATCGAATTTCGATACTCTCGGCGGACAGAGCACAAATGGCCCATTTTGTTGCTTTGTGCTTAATAACCACGTTTTTGTTTTCTTTAACGATAAAATTTGCATCCTCTACATTTCAATTTCATAATCTGGCGCCAACATGCCAATCGTACAGGGAATTTTCTGTAATGATAAGCATAAAATCCTTGTATAATACATATTTTTCAATACAAAAGGTAGTCTTATTTTACTTGAAAACTTGGGCACTATGATACCAATTTTTCAGTGGAACCAAACATTTTTCACAAACTTACATTATGTTGGGCTTATTTGTTCAAAAAAAAGTTTAATGAATTTGAGAGATAAAAACAACAATTAAATTTGATATTGATTCACGCAAGTTTGGAAATTGTGGTTATTCATTACGTGTGATGCATAGTCAAAACCGTTATATGCTTGAGTTAAGTTCAACATCATAAAAATTTATGATGGGAAAATAAAAACTTATATACAAAATATGACAACAAAAAAGATTAAAAGGTATATGTTTAGATTAATCGACAAGATAATGCTAACGTTGTTCAGTTGAATTTTGCCTCCACATATTTTCGTGAATTTATCAGTTCTTATTGTTTTTAATCATACAGGTTATTTTAACACACCATCTAGGTCTAGTATTTTTAAGTGTGTGGTACACTCTTTGAAAACTTTAAACTTTCCACAAGTATGTTTATCATAAATATCAATGGTTAAGTTTCGGGGGTAGCCAGTAAAGTTTAACCTAAATACTATCAAACAAAACTAAGTAATTATGAATGGTTTTTTTAAAATACCTTATACAGGTATTCTTCTTTATCCTCCTGAAGAAAAATAGTGAACTATTCTAAAGCGCTCGAGTTTTGGGTCTCGTTTGAAAACCATTACAACTTTTGTATGTGATCCTGTGAACTAACTTCTTAATCAGAATTTATACAGGTACGAGTGAGGTATTATTTCAATATTTTGTTCTTGTAAAAACTATATTTTTTTATTATTAGCACATTATTTTGATAAAAAATTACTTTTGTGGAATACATTGTATCTTAAAAGTAGAAGAGTGCTTCGAAACTGGTTTACCCACATTAGTTATTTTCTGTACAAACTAACTAATAAAATACATACTTTTTCGTCTCTGGTTTAAAAACAAACTCATTTATAACAAAACTGCCACATACACATCACTATAACATTTGAAAAGCATTCATAATTTAAAACGATACGAGACCACAACTGACAACGTATCAAAAACAACAACAACAGCGGCAAACAAAGTTTCATCAATAAATATACGTAGGAGTATCACTAGAATAATTTCTTCGGTACAATAACATCACATTAGTTTGCATTGGTTTGAAAAATACAACAGCTGGTATTGGCAGTGGTCTACAGATTTCAGCAAACCAGTAATACACATTTCATTCGTTATCATGCACGAACTATGTTTCTGTTCTACCTCAATACTCATTCGATATAAAAGAAATACTATGTTAATATCCTATAATGTCCAATTCCAATCATTTGAGAAATAAAACATTACCCTCACGGCTTTAATTTTTCTTTCATCATAAAATTTCCTAACAAACAAAAATGTTTAAACATTCTTTTAAGATGGTAGAGTGGTTTTCTTTATGAATTTTATCCTGCCTATATTTTCATTGAGACAACGCTGTTTCGAACCTTGTACCGAGTTCTTCTTCAAGTCTAAGTTCTATACTGACTAAATTTATAAATAGATATTCATTTCATCTTAATCGTGTCACTAATGTAAGTAGAAACCACTCTACCATGGCGAACACTAGGCCAAAATCAATCCTGAGAGAAGATTCCTTTGAAATCAAAATCCACATCTCGAATTGCACCTTGTTCGCTTTTTATGTGTACAACAAAATAATTGGTCTCACAAAAACAGCATTAATACTTACCATAAAACACAGATTAAAATAATACTTTCATCGCGACCTTTATTTAAGTTCTTTATTAACTAAATTTCTAAATAAAAAATAGTCACTTCATTTCCGAGTCCTATTACTAATATAATGTAAATATAAATTTATAAGTTCCAACTAAATGAGACAAGACTGAAATTTTATGACAATATCCCATTTCCTGACGTAATCATTAAGTTAAAACATCAACAGCACAATAGTTTCAAGTAAATCCAAGAAGAAAGAAAACGGGTGTTAACGTTCCAATAACAAATATTATACCATTCTTTCTATCACTTCATTAAAACGCAATAAAGCAATTTAACATTCATTGTACATCCAACTGTAGGTATAATCACAATCAAAGCCTATAAAATTTTTAAAAGCATTCGTAATTCAAAACGACATAAAACTATTTCTGAAAGCGCAGAAAAAATAACATCAGCAAAAAAGCTTTATCAATAAAAAAATGTCTCAGTATCACTACATATTTTTTTCGTTACAGTAACATCACATTAATTTGTACTGGTTTGAAAAATACAACAGTGGTTTACGTTGATTCCAATAACAATGTTATACCATTCCGACACGTTTTTAAATCGCTATGAATCAGCTTAAAATTCAGTGTACATCTAATTGCAGGTAATCCTAATTAAAGGATAACAATGGAATCCTCTATTCTCATCTTTCCAATGGAATAAATGGGAATTGGATGACACAATATAGCGCTTTCAGAGAAAACTAATTTCTGAAACGTATAATATGAAAATATACTTGGAAGGGTCTACAAAACATCGGGTTTTGTAAAATGAACATCTTATTCGTGATCATCCCATAAAAAAATTCCAAATTTCGCAAGAACCTGATTTTATAACAAATTAAATTAAAGAGTTAGATGTATCTTTTTTTAAAGCAGAGACAAAAACTGAAAAAAACTTCATTTACCAGTCATTGTTTGGATTTTGTAACATCGTCATTTTTCTATGATACTATTACGCGTAATTTATTTAAACAATCAGAATAAACATTTTGTAAATATTCTCTCTCAACAGTTTTAGTTTTAAATTATAGAAGAAAAAATAAGTTAAAGGCGTCTGATTTAAACATTCCTACCAATTCCCCAAGTTTTGTAGACCATCTTTGTAACATTATGTTTAAATAGTGAAACAATTCATTCCCTCTACGCTTCACTGTCAAACAATTTCTACAATATCACTGGAAAGCTACTGTCTGTGATTAAGTTCAAGTCAACCATATCTTGTAGCAATTCGAAGATATTCCTTTTCACATCACTTTCACATACAAAATTCACATCCTACAAAAATAAGACTAAAATCTGAAGATCACTTTGTACAATTAAAACACCAGTTAAAACATGAATAATGTGAAAAGAACAAGTCAAAAACTCTTTATTAAAACTGCAAAACTTTCATCAATGTCTACAGTTCTGCTACATCACTTACCAAGATAGGGCAGACACATGTATTCTCAAACTGGGCTTGGTCATATTTTGAACCAAAATGTCTAGATGTTGATTTAAACCAACTCTAATAAGTGGCAGTGGTTTGCCTCTTGGCAAAAATAATCAATACACTGACCAGAGATGAAAAAGAAAATATAATTAACTCACTTCATGCTTCATTAGTAACAAAATAAGCCTTTAAATATAAATCAACCAAACAATAGTGAATAAACATTATTACATGACTTTATAGTGTAATAATTAATAAAACTTCCATAAACAACTGAAAGATGGAAAACTCCAAAAACTAAGGAATTGTTCGTTTTAAGTAAAGAAAAAAGTAAAAGTTCCATTTTAAAAACACATTGGTTTAAACATTTAAATAACCTTTACAACTGAACTTATATAAAGTTAAGTAATAAAAGATTTTTGGCTTTTTGTAACATTAACGATTTATTTCTAATAGCATTTCTACATAAAATATTATTCTAAATTAGTTCTGTGTTTGAAGGCTGATGCTACTCATTTGATAAAACAAAGTATCGATCAATTAATTATTGGAATAAAATGTCAATTTTAAACACAAATTCAAAATTATAATAATATAGTCATAGGGACCCTGATAATCGCAACGAATAAAAACTGTATTTACAAAATGCATAA